GGTTAGACGGTTAATAAAAATAAACATTTTAATAATTAGAAGCTTTTAATATATATTAACATATTGTATTTAATATATAGTGTTTTAATGTTTAAAAAGAATCATTTCAAATGTTATAAACAATTGTAATAAAATATAGTTACAACTTGATGAGAGAAAGCAAAGGATTATCTATATGTATCTATTTTTCAAGATTTATTGTGGGTTATTATTTGTCAAATTAAAAACATCAATTGTCAATGATATATCAACTTTGAAATGAATAATAGTATTACTAATATTCGCGTTGTCGTTCCAATATTGCTGATCTGTTATCGAACGGATTAACAACGAGAACGATGCTTGATATAGGTCGTTAAATTTTTCGTGACTCTAGCAATAATAGACCGGAGAAAATAAAAAAAATCATGGATAGCCATGGAATTTTTAGAAAATTAGTTGATAACATTATTAGCTGATTATATTGTCAACGGCGATATAGTTTTCGCATAATCGATCAGTATGGTTAAATTTAACACTGATCATGTTATAAACTCGATTTTTTAAGCGGGCTCTCAATCCTTAAATCTTTTTTTTTTAAAGTAAAAAATTTTTACTCATGTTTTAATTTCTGTATACAATGTTTCTGTATGTAATATAATTTATTTCTATATGTAATAAAATAAAAAATGTGTGCATTTATATATAAAAATTAAAATAAAAGACAAAATTAAAATAAAAACAAAAAGTAAGATATATGTATATACATAATAAATTAAAAAAAAAAGTATTATTCAATAGTGGTTAACACAATTTTAACTTATTTAATTATATTAATAAATTAATTTAGTTTATATAAAGTATGTTAACGCGTAAAAAAAGGGGAGAGGCGGCTTCGACAATCTATCTGAGTGTTTCAGGATAGAAATTCATTTCTCAACAATTTCTCTAGGCGATCGACTATGAAGTTCATAGACACGATATAACACCAACGAAACTGAACAGCAACATTATCTTAACGAACCGTGATCTTCTCGAGCAATTGAGTCTTGTCGCGCCAAAAGCGAATTACACATTGCAAGAAGGCACGGAGCGCTTGCTGTATTTTGGTGCACTTCTGCGAGCGCAAATCCTTGACACCTTTGGCAGTCTCCTGTACATCTATTACGATGACTTCAGCATAAAGGAAGTGGAGGCGTTACACAAGGTCTATCAAGAGATCTTCGAGCGAAGATACAATATATTCAACCTGATCCCCGCCATTCTGAGGAATCCGGACACAAGACCGTCAAAGATCTGCGCTACAATTTACACCTATGCAGAGCCCTGCCTGAAAAGTAGCGCCAGCATATGTCGTACGATCAGGAAGCATGATCTTCCGCATCCTGACAATCTCACCACGCCCGCTTTGAATGTTACGTATTTAGCGTATCATTTGTCCAAGATATCGAGGCAATACTTCAGAGGATTTTCCTTAGCGACATTATTAAAGCTCCTACAGAGGGAAGTGCTGACGATCACGCCTGATCTGTTATCCGGACTTCTTTATAACGTGAGATACGATAATATTGATGATGACGTTCGTCTCGCCGAGAGGGAGCTTGTACAATCTTTTCGCAAAATCGCACAGACTACTAAAATTCCGATATCGTTGCCGACAACAGAGCTAAAGAAATTTCGCACTGTGAATTCCTTCCTCAAGTATTATATCGGTACATACGCTGAAAGATCTCCGGACGATGATTTGAAGAGACACGCGTTTCTTATCAGGAAACGTATCGTCGACGACATCGGTACGATCAATGAGAATATTCATCTACTTGGTAACGTCTATGAGAACCGAACAATTCACATCAAGTATCTCTTTGATCTTGTATTGCCTGACGACTTACTCGACAACGATGTCATTGAGGCTAAGAGATACCTGGTGAAGAAATTAAATGAATTTGACGTGGTAGAGAAATATCTCAAGGTGCAAAGGTATCAACAGGCGACACCGGCTCAGCTGGCGATGGAGATCACTGGACAGCTGAAGGATATCGATTTCGCCAAGAGCATTGCGATATCTTTACGAATGCATGCGAGATTCTGGCACAGCAATCGCAGGATGGAGAGTCTCGATGAGCTGCTAGAACTGTTTGACGCCTACGAAAATCTACGTCAAGTGCCGTACTACGACGACATGATGCAAAAGATTGACAGCATTAGAAAAAATCTGTGGGATATGAAAGACATTCCCGTTGAGATTCTTTGCAACGCTCCACGAGCTTGTCTGCGAATAGGTCTGCAATCGCTTTTAAATTGCAAATATGTGAATTCTGAAATCAAAGAGCTTATTAAAGATTTCTTTAAATTGAGCGATATGTGCGTGATTCCTCTGTCTGTGACACAAGAGACATCGAGACGTTCAGTGGATATTCCCTTCAAAATATTCAAAAAGCGTTTTTCTATGCAGCTAGCAAACATAAGCGCCATGGTGATGAAAAAAGATAAAATTAAACTGACGACAATTAGCGAAGCTACAACTCGACCTAATATAATTGAAGACTTTGACGAGAGTGAAAGTACAGAAAGTTCTGAATCTGAAGAAACTGCGGAGTCCGATGAAATATCTAACGAATCTACGGAATCCACTGAGGTTTTAATAGAGTCCGAAACATCGTCGGAAGAGAGTACGGAATTTATAAACACGACCACAACGACTACGCTAAGAACAATTGAATTTGTTGAGCCTATTTTGACAATGACGATAATGGATAAAATATCAACGATTCAAGAAGAGACAACTGCGGCCGCAACGAGTCCCACAGCTGTAACAACTATAGCATCACCTAGGACAACTACAGCATCACCTCCGACAACCACAGTATCATCTACGACAACAACAGTATCACCTACGACAACTACAGTATCGTCTACGACAACTACAGTACCACTTACGACAACTACAGTATCGCCTATGACAACTACAGTATCGCCTACGACAACTACAGTATCGCTTACGACAATTAAAGCATCACCTATGACAACTACAGCATCGCCTACGACAACTACAGCATCGCCTACGACAATTAAAGCATCACCTATGACAACTACAGCATCGCCTATGACAACTACAGCATCGTCTACGACAACTACAACATCGCCTACCACTACAATATTACCTATAACAACTACTGCATTGCCCACAACGACTACATTATCCACAACGATTAGTACGATATCAGCAACCACAGAACTGCCAATCTTTAATATAGAAATGGAATTAGAGCATTCGAGGATGACAAATATTAATAATTTGCATGACGACGACGATATTACTCCGACTTCAATATCTTTTACATCTGCTTTGACGAGATCTTGCGAGTCTAACGAATGCTCCAGTGAACAAAGTTCGGAAGAAATTAGCGAAAAAACGCAAGCTTCTACTCTCGAACCTACTCGAACAATATCTCCTGAGTCGTCAACGACTGATCAGGACTTTGCCATCACCGAGACGACAGTAAGTTCAACGACGGAATTGAGCGAAACGCCAGTTACGAAACGTAAGTAAAAGTTTTACGTAGCTCGCAATAATAATATTAGATAAATTTTTATACGTCATATATATCGTTACCGTAAAAAAAATTGCGATTTCTCGTTTTTGACGTTTTTATTCCAATGATATTTCAATTCAAAAATATTTGTTATCGAATTATATATTTATTCACATATACATATATGTATACACGTGCGCATGCATATTAACATATTTGAAACATAGCTATATAAAAAAGAATCTTGAATCTTTTTCTAATATTATGAAATGTAATGCAAGAGATGAAACCATCTTGTTTAGAAGGATGCAGATCCAAAAGTGAAAACATCGAGATGTCCTGTGAAACAAGCTGCGTCTCCGTGGAGGATTGCGATGGAGAGGACAGTGCTCTCAAAGACATCTCTGAAAAAATAGAGAATCACACCTCCAAGTGTTCCAAAGTGCACTGTAAGGAGAGCTCTCCGGAAATCTCTTCGGAATGCGAAACGGAGACTGACAAGAGTTGCGAATGCGTTTCCAAGGAAGAAAAAAGCGCAGAATGTTTGACGTCATGTGTCTCGGACGTGGAAAATTCGTCATGCGAAGAAAGGCAGAATGATTGCTCGAGATGGGAAGTGCCGACGGTCAATATGAATTTCGAGCACACTCGGACACGAGGTATATGCGAGATTCGGGATCCTTATCATCGACGCCAGATGAAACGGTTAGCAAAGATGCGAGCTATCAGCGCCGCCGTTGCAACGTCGGACGCCAATGTTCTCAGGTCAAAAGCATCGCGACATCGAATCGCAAGCAAGAAGCTATACAATCTATTAGCCAAACTATCTGATGCCAAGGATGGAAGGTCCAGAAGGATAACAGAATACTTGTTGAAGAGACCTCTTAGTGGGCTGAACAGAATTGAAGATGCAAATGCAAAACGTCGCAAGCAACAGGAACAAATTTACAGATTGAGAAGGAGGCTGGCAAGGAAACTCAACAGAAAATTGACTGGAAGGACGTCGATGCATCGATCGATGAGTACACCGCTCCATCAGAGTCAGATCGAGAGGATATCCAGCAGAGTCGCAAAATCGATCAACGCGACAGCGCATAAAAAACTGATACAAGATTGAAATCTGTCGATTTAAAATTACGCATTACTTTTACTAATAATATTATATATAGAGCATATTATATTATTATATAAACCATTGGTATCGAGTGTATATTATTACTATTCGCCATGTTGCGTTTATCGAACTTTCCATCCAATTTATTCGATCAGAGATGAAAAATATTAAGGAACGTAACGAGATTCATATTCTTAAAGGAGTAATTATGTTCGAGACAAAAGCGTTTATCAATTTCGATTAAACAATTACTTAATCTGAATATTTTAATACTCGTCTATATATATTTAAAATTTGAAAGCTATTGCGATATTTTTGTGCACTTTACAAAATTATTTCTCCGACTCTTTCTAAAGGCCGTTTTCGACACTTCGGCACTGATCAATTAATCTTAATGAGGTTTTTATCAGTGGTTCAGGCAACGATCTATGATATTATGGACGGTCGAAACGTTTCTTCATCATCAATCATCAACATCTTAAATCAATCGCTAGAAATTTTGATGAGTTTCGTAAATATGCTTAGTGTTTGATAAAGATATATTCAGCCATTAAAGATAACTTGGTAATTGAATATTACATTGAAGATATATAATGCAATAATTTAGTTCGGATATATCAGATATTTACTTATTAGATTGATGAAAAATTAACAAAAAAATTTATAAAAATTGGAAGCACAAATTACAAGGAGAGAAAGAGTAGACAATTTAATGAAAGATATATCTACAATTATTTTTGAATATATTGGATGTTTGTTTCTACTAGATTTAGGCCCTTTTTTTTAGCAAGCATTGAACAAATACTCGTTAAATATATTTTCGCTTCGTGCCGAAGCAACAACGAGGTCCGGCATGAATGTCATAAACGGATAAAGCGGGGCAAACGATAGAACACAATGAGAAGTAAATTTGACATGGCCAGTGCGCGGCGCGTAATCTGTCTTATTAAACGATCCCGCTCGCACGTTGAGCGATTACATTTGAATTTAGTTTACGCTCGAAATAAGCGCCGTGTCGCGCTATCGGCCAATTAATTCTCCATCCCCAGGATACCTTTATGACCACGGCGAATTTGCTTGATTTCATCGAACGCTATTTCACCACGACTTACAAAAGTAATTTTTTTCTCGCAATCGAGATCGCGTGTACCTCTAAATCTTTGCGATCTCGGAATAGCCGGACACGCGACTCTAGAATTATTGCGAAAGAAACTCGGACACTTTCACCTGTCTCACAATCAGCGAGGCAAACACGCGCGCGCGTTTCCAACAAACGTAAATATTTTACCCACGCGGTTCGCATTCGCGGATAGAATGGAACACACCAATATCCGTGAATGTAAATTAAGAGAGCCGTCTGTATAATATTGCTGGAAGAACAGGGGATGTAAACGATTTCGCAAAAAAAATATGAATTGCCGATGGTGAATAATTACTGACGATATATTGTTCTTAGAGGAGAAATAAACCTACCGCAAGGAGAGACGAATTCGAACGAGAGTTTACATCAAACTACTTCTTATAAAATAACTGCAAAGAAGTTATTTTTTATTGAAAAAATTAGGGATTTCTTTTGTCAAAAATTATTATTAGAGAGCCTATATATTCTTATAAAATATTTCACTGCTCTTTTTTAGAGCTTATCGCCTCAATGCCACACACTTATCCTTCGTCGACCTTGTGGCTGCGAGAGAGTATGCGGATGCAAGTATTGATCCGTGATTACGTAGCGCTTGAAATTCTAAGGACCTTGCCTTGGAAAACACGATACGTGCGCAAAAAGAGAAGTCGAGACAAATTGTCGGTATAATCAGTACATGCGCCAGACTGATATTTGAAATATCAGTTTGTTTTGCATAGACAATGCGACCGTCCGATGAAGCGTATTACACATATATAAAAATGCACACACACACACACACACAGATACACACACGCGCGCGCGCGTTGACCTACCGCGAGCTAAATGGAATCGAATGGGATGGAAATCTTAGGGGGACGAAATAATGGAAGCTTTATACCGTCAGGAACCGTTTTATAAAATGTAAATTATTTTGCGTACAAGTATTAATCTACTTTATCATAATTCCTTGAATGCATTATTCATGAATAAACGATCGCATTTTACATATAACGATAGAAATTTTCCGCTGAAGAATTTTATAATTTATGCAAAATTTTATGATGCGTTATGTCGGATAGATTGACGTTTGCGGTCGCTTGGTGGTCACAAATATCTTTAAATAGCTTTAACCAGTTGAAGTTGGTCCATTCCTAAAATACGACTGTCCCGCGTTCAGCAGAGCATGTAAGTTGTTTTTTTATGAATTCATTTGGCATCACATGGTCCTCTATAAATCGCCTTTTGCACGCGCGCGAATTGACTACGCGCGACATATTTGCGGTGCTCATTAACTTCTGCGGCTAACACACTGTGCTACAGCCGGCTCATGTGACCGGCAATTTGTATCGATATACAAATTGCGATTTGCACAGGCGGCAGGATACGTCATTGCGAAATTCCAGAAAGGTAAAACGGATATGATTATTGTAGACGGCGAAGAGTAAATATATCGCGATCACGCGCTGTTGTACGCAAAATCTTTCGCACGCGCGAGAAAATACAATTAAAATACTAGCGAAAATTAACGAAGTATCATTATTCAAATGCGATCATTCCTTTTAATCCGTTTGAATAAAAAAATCGCTCCATTCTCTATCGCGAGAATCTTGACACATATGTATACGCGTCCGCCTACATCTACCTACAAACAGTTAGATTTTCGTTAAAGGGCAAAAACCTACTCCATCATCATTTAAAGATCGGGAGGGGGTCAAGCGTGTCGCGCGGGAGAGTCCCACTGAGACGCCGTTGCTAAGCAGCGGCAGAGATCCCATACAAGCGTGTGCGGGAAATAGAAATAGAGAAGATAGAGAGAGAGAGAGAGAGAGAGAGAGATAGGGAGAAGAGAATGAGAGAGTGAAAAACTGTTGTGACAGAGAAGGAAAAAGAAAAACGATCTCCCGCGCGTTTGGCGCGCGCGCACATTCACCCACTCTCGGCGTCTCGGCTGCCGATCGTGCGGCGATCGGGCGTACTCGGCTGCGGCGATTCGGCGTTCGGCGGTCGGCGAACGACGCGCTCACTTCAGTCTGATTCAGTCCATTACGGTGCGTCGCACAGTACGGACACGCGTGTTTGGTTAGGAACGAGGACGCGCCGTTGTTGCAACGTCGCCGCAGTGTGGAAAGCGCGCACAGGCGGCGAATATAATTGTAACAATTTTCGTTAAACGTGATCTTTCCCTCCCTTGGGAGAAAACCGTCTTGGGCGCACGCATCTCTGACATGCGGCCGGCGATCACGAGCCATTGTTCGCGCCGTTTGACATTCGGGGCAACGGCCAGCCGCGGCGACTCTCCGCAGCCATATCGTGCGAGCGAACGTATCGCGCGCGCGACTCCGGCTTGAATTTACCTGCGAATCGCCGAGAGAGGTGAAGAACGAAGCAGGAGGCTGCACGTCGCGCCGAATCGGAGATATTTTTATGGTGAGTACTTATCGTATACTGTTTTCAACTTAACCGCTTTGCACTCTCGGTGGACTGGCCCATCGGCTCTTTCAAGATGGGATGTCCTGTATAAATCATCTCTCGTTATTATACCGCTATAAAATTTCAATCGAATCTTATCGTTTAAATTTTATCATTTGATCATTTTCTCTAATTCATTTAATATATGTATAATAACCCATGCCCCCACATATTTACTCAATATTTTTTTCATAATAGTGATTTTTTTATATACATAAAATACATACGTATATATATATATATATATATATATATATGTGTGTGTAGTCTGTATATACATTTATTCCAAAACAGAATTCAGAACATATTTATATCTTGCATATCAAGCCATTTTTTTCTCACTATTGAGACGATTATTCTTCTCTAGCTGCTCTGTAAATATGTAAATGCAAACCGCAATGTCATTAGGTGCTAGCTCTTGTTGGCAGGACTTCCCAACGAGTAATATTCTCTCTCTCTTTCCATCTCTCTCTTCCATGTCGCACAAAAATTATCGATAGAGGGAAGTCCCGTTATAATATTAAAAGTATATTTATTAGAGAATTTTTTGGATATATAAAATTTTTTGGATATAAAATCGGCTGTTTTGAATATTTAAAAATGCTGATTTTGTGATATATTGAGATAAAATAGATTTTGAAATAGATAATTATAATTTTCAATTGAATCTGGTGCAAAACTTGTTAATGAATATTTGATATTTACATATAATTGGAAAAAATAGTGACAAAATGTTTCCGAAAAAGATTAAAATTTATATATTCTTTTGTTATGACCGCGCGCACCGCAATTTTTTTTTTGCACGTTATTAATAATTTATATTTATGTCGGTATCATATTTAAATGACATGTTAAAAGTTAACATTTGAACAATCAATTTCCCATTGTAACGCGCTTACAATTAGTATTTAACGCAACGAACCGATTGACGTTTCTCCAGTTATTTTTTTTCTTGATGCGATAATAAAAAACGGAAAGTTCCGTTGGTTAAACCAGTGCCGTTGTGTCTAACAACATCACGTAACATCATTATTTTCGGCAATTTACTTCAAGCGAGTATATTTCAAAATAACACATGATCGACACATGTATATTGATACATGATACATGTATGTATATTTACATTCAAAAATTAGACACAATCGTGATCAAGATCAGCAGAGAAAAAAGAGCAAAAAATTTTAGCGAATTTCTTTTTCGTCATAAATTGATATAATATTCTGTAGTTTATCGTCATCGCGGATGACAGATCGCTATGAATGGATCAAGATCGTAAGGCGGCACGACGTATTGCGCGCGGCTCGCGTTTAGAAAGTTTGAATTTATGCTAACTTACGTAATATATTTCGTTCGAGATCGTAGCTGGCGACCTTTGCCTCGCAATGCCGCTTTCCATATCTGAGTTCTTCATAGAATTTTTATGGTTTTTTTTTGTATCGGGTTTAACCGCAGAAATATCCGCACAATATTATAATTATATATCGCGATTAAAAATTTATGACTAGATTACGCACGAAAGAATATTATTTAATATTTTTATATAAGCACAATTTTTAATAGCAATTCTTAAAATCCATTTTCCCCAACTCGTGATAAATATTTGAAATATTGGTTTGCAAAATTGTTTTAATTGTATTTAAATTATATATATGTATATAAAATAAAACTCACATGTCTCTATAAATCCATGGCCCTAAAAATCATTTTTTCCTTCCATAGATTGGCTCTCTATTAAAATCTTTGACATTATAAATCTCTAGAGTCAGAATAATCGTTCTTTATTAATTCTGAAAATTAGATATATTTTTATTTTATATAAAATTAGATTATATTTTGTTGCGGTGTATATATATATATATATTACATGACGCCAAAAATGTAGTGTAATATTTGGAAATTAATGAAATGATCGAATATTTTATTTTCTTCACCTTATGTAATGGAAAAGAAGAGAGAATTTATAAAATTTAAAATTTTTTTACTTATGGCATATTTATTATTTCCAACGATATTATCACGACCGTGAATTTATGCACTTCTTCATCATGTTTATGTATCATTTCTACTGAAAATGTTTAATTTACCCTCGGACCCACTTGTATATACAGAATGCATGTAGTTATCGACTTTTAGAAATCGATAACGTATAGATATGCGAAACACAGTATTTTCTACAAATCAAATGTAATATTTTTTGATTCCGTAACGCGTATGACGTTTGCATTTAAAGAAGGTGCATGATGATTCACACGGTGCTTTACATGGCGTTTGTTTGTATCCATGTGATGTCATCATCAACGATGTAACCTTTTCCTGCATTCAATCAAGAGATGTCTCATGCTAAATCACGAACTATGTATTTATATATTATGTATTTACATGCGAGCCATCCTATTGAATATCTTAAATTTTATTAACGATTAAACTAATTAAGTTCTTAATGAGCTTAATCACTTGAATTTTAGTTATATAACAAAAATGTCTTTTTGCTCTATGTGTCTTATAAAAGTAATCAATTTTTGGACGGTCGCGTGGATTTGGCATTCTTTACTTTTTAAAAAAAAGTAATTTTTTAATTTGTTTTTATATTAGTTGGTATAATGATAACAATAAAGTCATTAGATTCAAGTCGTTTATTAAGAGAACAGCTCCTTTCTTCTATTGTTTTATTGTCTTACATGCGAGACATACAAAATTATATGAAAGCTAATAACTTACTTATAGACAACAAGCAGAATAAGCAGAAATCGGATCGGTCGCCGATAATCATAGCCGTAAGATAGCACAGGTTTAGAATTCCATCTTCGCTAACCGACTGACGTCGGTCAGGAGTCTCTAAAAAATTTCCAATGTACCGAACATGATCGAAAATGATTGGCAGATATGTTGTTGAATAGCAAGCGAAATTAGACGGTCACGAATCCCAATGGAATAGTACCCTATGCTCTGTTATTTTTGTTACAGACAGTCTTTTAATAGAACATACTTCGTCGATCTGTATATGCGTGAAAATTGATTTCGCGATTTTGTTCCATAACATATACCACAACAAAATATAATCATATAAAAATATATCCAACTTTCGGAATTAATAAATTATAATTAAAATGATTATTCTGACTTTAGATATTTATAACGCCAAAGATTTTAATGGAAAGTCAATCTGTAGAATGAAGAAAAGATTTCTAGAGACATGGATTTATAGACATGTGAACACAGTTTCTTAGCTTAATATAAAAAAGAAATTTGATAAAATTACTGTTGTATCGTATAATTATGGCTGATAGGTAAGAAAGTTGAGAGTAGTGAAAGTGACGTGAAATATAAATTACTCTGTAATGTACTCTTTAATGTACATAATATACATGGGAGTTGCGATTACTCTGGGAATCTATATACATGGGGATTACATTTTACTTTCTGTTTATTCTAATACCTCAATATCGCGTTCTGATCGCACGGACAAGACTCTTGATATGAAATTTCTCCGCAACATGGATCTTTATACAGTTCTGATCTAATTTCCCAGATTTGCGAGTGAATTATCTATTAAGCGGAGCGAGATATGTGATTATCTTTTCGACGTTTGAAAAACACTTCGACGGCGCTCCCCCGTATTACGATTTATCTTTGATTGCATAGGAAATGACGGGAAGCAGTCTGGAAAAGTACCGTTACAACATTTTCTCGTTCGCGATTATCTCGTAGAAAAGCTCGCGCGATTCCCCGCTGTTCGGGTTGGTGCAGTTAGTGTTAATGTGTGATAAAAATCTGACCAGGTCAACAGTGATTCTCATTCGCCTTAACCCAGTTCGCAGAGGCTTGATGGGTGCAGACCGATCTGTGCCATGATTACGGGCGCAAATCATGCCGGTAACGATAACCGGCGCAATGCCAGTCCGTGTCACTGTTGCTGTAACATTGAATGGAATCGCGCGCATTTTGCCCTTATTATTGAAATCGCGAAAATTGATAGACGAATCAATGATTTAAGGATATATTGACTCTTAATCGTAAACTCGTTCGATCGAATATCATAAATTTATTTCAAATATATATATATTTAACAAAGAACACATTATATACATACACATATATTCAGAAAGTCATTAACATACGGATAGTTTGCATATATTTATATTAAATATCACGATTTATTAGAATTATCATTTTTGTTACATTTGCTCTGGATAAGATATTACATCCGCGTGTTTCTAGTTAAATAGTAAATAATATCGCGAAAAAGAAATGCGGAGTTAGTAATACGAGATCGAAAGGCCGCGTTACGTTGGAAGGGGTTACACTGGAAAATCTTAGAAGGAGATGTGTTGCATCGCTGCATCAAGCATTACTCGATATATGCTGATAAGTCGCATAATTTTTCCATGATGCCGCAATATAGTCGTTATATATGATTCGAGCTGAATTAAGGAACTTTCCTTTAGATGACACAAGAGGATCGCGCGAGGCACGATCCCGATAATATAATCGCCACGAGAGAGCAGGTATGTGCATACTCACATACACACATATAACGACCGAATTACGATACGTGACAAAGTCCAAGAATAACGAATATATTCATCTGAAATATGATACACATTATTATAGACTGTCATAATTTTTCATCGGTGACTTTCTTTGTACCGCGCCGAATTCCCCGAATTGTTGCGTTCTCGAACGTATTTCTTAACATTGTTCTGTTAAAACTTTGTCTCGAAGCAGGATGTAGTACTAACTAGGTGAGGAGAGAGAGAGAGAGAGAGAGAGAGTGATATTGAAACATGGAATAGTGTGAAATGTAAACAATGACGTATATCTGTAAATTCAACAACACCCCATCAGGTACTAGGTATCTGTTAGAGATACGCTCTAAAATATACATAAATATCTTTAGCAATCCGCTTAACGGTTTATTTTCTTACGTTGTACTTAACGATCGACAGATAATGGCGAGGTGGAAAATCGGGCAAGGCGTTTATATATTATTAATGTCGTAATATATCACACATAATATTACCACGGTAACGAAAGAATAAATTTGAGCACGCATTGCTCGTATAATTACTTTGGATAAAGATTTTAGAAAGTTTATCAATCGACCAAGCGATATCGATCCGCTTATTAAGTTTCGCTAGGCTAATTGTAACCAGTGATTAATACGACCCATCGTGTTGGCCGCTGCTAAATCGTTCGAGACACGGCTGGGATGGGAATGGCGGGATGTTATAAGCTAGAACACATTGTTGAAGCATTCCACGGCAGATCGTTGGAATTAGCATTCGAATCCATTCTTTATAATGGCTGGACATCAAAGTACGTAACGCGATAAGTGATTGTCTATGTTCACGAGCGTTCAATATTCTACGAACAATTCTGACGTAATAATCGTTCTGAGAGAGAGATCATTTATAACAAGATTATTATTCTTATTAATTAATATCGTCGTTTGAATTATTATTTTAAAGATTATCAGCGATATTTTGATTAAGATTGAAGTATTTTCTCTGGAATTATCTTGATTGATAAAATATTTGAAAAATAGATGAGAAATTAAAGAGAGAGAAAGAAAGAGTCAGAAAAAATCGTTATCGAAAATAATCTATAATAACTTTTCGATATAAGTATGCGATCTTGATTCTTTTTAAATCACTTAAGAGTTATTATTCGCATGATTTTGCAAAATTATCATCATTATTATAAGACTACTAAGTATTTTCACGTTGAAATTATCTTTAGCTATATGAATATACAAAAATAAATGACAGACATCTCAGTCTCGTTATCAAAATTGATCCACGACTTTTTGACGTGTATACATTCAACCTTGATGTGCAGAATCTTTTCGCGCGATATAACACGATTTATATACGTGTCATTACGATTTAACGGGAAAAATTGGCGTGGAATGGTTTACGATCTCTCTTCTACTTAAGAAGTTAATATATAGAGATAATGATCGCGCGCAAAGCAATTAATGCGATTTGAGCTCGCGTCGGATCGATTTCACGCGCGTATCACTGCTTTTTATTCGAATAAATATCTTCGTTTATCGTATTAAACTTCGGCGAAGCGAATCGTGATTTCTTCGCGCAATCCGAAGCATAATTATTCTGGGCGCGCGCTCACTCGACGCACTTTTTCCCCGAAGCTCGCTTATTAATAACACCTCGTGCATTTCGCCACGATGAATTTTAAGGCGTTAAATTGGACGTAGGCGGCGTGTCGAGACAATATTTCAAGATCAGCGATCCGTTGATGGACGCACCAAAAACTGTCATCCTTGATGTCGGCACTGACACGAGACGGATAAGCGGTAGTCGCTAAAGCTCTGACAATGGATTATAAAAATAAGCTATAAAGAGAGTAAAGAGATAAAACACGAAAGAAACATGGAAAACTGTAATGTACAAGGTCCAAGCACAATTCTGTCATATCCTAGTATATCCAGAAATTAATTTGACGTATAAAAATTTTCAACAATTTTTATGGTATATTTGTCCGCACGTGTTTCCAATATTTTCTATCTTAAAATCGTATTTTATTTTCTTTCTCTCTCACAAGAAGACTTTGATGTTGACCGACGACGTAGGTATCGGTGGCGAGTTGCAACACACGCGCGAGTGGCCGCGAGCCAGTGCTCAAGGTGCTAACAAATCTATGAAATGACGCTCCCGGCTCCTGTTCGCCGATATCCACCTTGTGGAATTTGCTAATTGATAGGCTCGTGTAAGCTATAGTTGCGTTACGAAACGCGGAGCGTGTGCATGCATGCGTGCGTGCGTGCGTGCGTGCGCGCCGACGAAAGCTCGAAGGAAGAAGTTATTCGTGTAACGGGAAAATTTAATGTCGTACGTCGCACAAGAAGGGATCACGCATGGGTTTACGCCGCTTATAACAGTAGATGATTGCGTAGTGAGATTGGACATGGGAAATCTTTTTCTTCCTCCGGGAAACGTGAAGCTTGTGAGAAAACAGAGTACGTCCTCTTGAAATATGTTGCATTCTAATTATGCAACGCATACATGTTCTGTGGAAATCAGAGATTTCTTCTGTGCAGTAGAGATATTATTTGCCAGATCAATGATTTTTGCAGCAGTTCACAGTTTATTCGATACTTGTTTTGATATTTAGATAGCGCTACGTAATACTTGACGATTTCCAAGAAATTCTTGCGTCATGCATATGTGATTATATGTTTATCATAATACTCTAATAAGTTGATTAAAATATCTGTGAGAGAGAGAGAGAGAGAGAGATCCTGATATACTTGTAAAAGTTGAGAATACAAAAAGAAAACTAAGGAAATAAAAAATAATAATAAAAAAATAGTCACGAGTCAACGTGAGTTTTCCATGAAAGATACTTTGTTTGCTTAGCGCGAAAACTTTGACTATACTCGATGAAACACAGCCAGAAATGTTTCGCAGATATCCGTGGGTTCCGCGTGCGTCGAAAGCAAACATCGAGTGCGAGAAAGAGAGAAGTTTCAGTGATGTCAGAAGTACCGATGTCGGAAACCCGCATATAACAGCCTGCTGCGCTCGTTCTTACATAGTCCTCTTTGTTCATTACACGCTATATAAAGAGTATTCTAGAGAAAGAGAGAAAGAGAAAGAGAGAGAGAACCAATAAGCACTTTCTCTCACCACTATGACTAACTTATAAAGAAAAGGTCTAAAACTCCAAATTTAACTGTTAAAAAATATTTAAAATGGATATTAAAAAAATATATATAATTTGTTCTTACATAATTTTTTTGTTTGCTACATTCGTTACACAGAAAGTGTCTCCCAGTATTATCATACTTTCTTAACAACTTTCTTAATATCATTAACGTACAGAAAAGTTTGAGGTTTAATGACCGATAATTTTAAAGTATAATAGAAATTTTCAAAAATTTTTTCTAGGAAAAGATTAATTTCAAGTTTGTTAAAGATATAATATTAATTAAGTTTGTTGAAGATATAATAACTGATAGAAATTGCGATAATTTTCGAGTGTCCTGCGGCAATCGAGCATATATATATATATATTGAACAGATAAATCGCTGTGAACACGCGCGCAAATAGACTTTGTAAGGTGTATCATTCAAATCAAATGATATATCACGATCTTACACAGATAAGATATGGAAGATTGATTCCTATTAGTCGTGTATAATTATCGTAATAGGATAATCGACAGGAGTAGCCTTGTAACAATATATGTGGCAGGATTTTTGTGAGTTACTTATAGAATTATTTATGCGATTATCGTGTGGATATTATGCTTATCGGCTATTCAAAACGGCATGACACTTGGAAGATAAAAATTAACGCAAATTTTAGAAACAAAAATGTGCAGAAGAAAGATACATTTTTTACAAGTAATATCAGCAGTAGTAATATCAGCTGCGGATATTTTATTTGATAATGATTGAAAATTTTTATTAATAACAATGATAATTTTATGTCAAAATTTTATTTTTACATCTTGTCTGATAAAAGGAATTTCATTGATTTTTTTCCAAAATCATATATATATTTTCTTTTTTTTAGATTTAGTGGATGTATAATAATTTTGTCTATATATGTGATTCTCCATAAAAAAACATACACGTATAACGGGGAAGAACGACAAACACTGGAGAATAAATAGTACATTTCGTATTCGTCCGAACGAGGAAATGAGATTGTATTCGACGCGAGTCGGGACGATACTCCGGGTTCTCGCGAAGTTTCGTAAATCTTCAACCGGTTTACGGGGGAGAGTGCCTATATGCGTATACGCATTCTCATATCCGCGACGAAAGAAACGACATTCTTTTTTTGTCACTGGTAATATAATTTCAAAGGCAGTAACAAACACACTCCGGGAAGATTCCGCGAGACTCGCGTCATAAAATTTTTTCTCCCCCAACGTAATACGCGGAAGTACAATAGCAGGCCGTAATACGACTTAATAGTAAATAAGGAGTTCGAGGAAAAAAGAAAGAGACGATAGTTTCCACGACCGTAGACGGTGAATTAATTAATTACGAGTGTCGTCGCATAATCGTGATGAGAAAAACGACTGTACTGTAAAAAGCGCGTAGACATCGATTTCTTGTCCGCAAAAGCACGATTAATGTTTCGTTGATGGAATTGATGTTTGAGAAAAAAGGTATGCAATGCAAAGATGCATCTGCATATGATGAATATGCGGTGATATTTTATGATCTTGCGCGCGAATCGTGGCATGAATTAAGAACACTGTTTTATTGTAAACCTTAGTTAGTATCAAGTCTGTTCCGTGCTATATAACACGCATTTTCTACGCTTCTCTATATTTTGTTTTATTATTTTTCTCTCGCTAGTGTGTTTCTTAACTTATCTAATTTCTCAACTATTTAATCGCGTTCAAAGCAATAATCTCATCGTGATATTGCATTGCAATAAGATTGGCTTTATTCGTGCTCGATAAGATACAATATTAACTCGAGGATCACATGCACGATATCGCATATACTGACATTAAAGTTAAGTGTAGATATATTCCCCTTCTATGCTCTCTTCCATAAAATGATTTTAAACATTTCGTCAATAGCGGCATTTCTCAGTCATACGTTGTTTGTTCGTGATATCAATTGTCTTAAACACTTGTTACTTTTAACTGTCTTTGGCTATCGCGTTTGACAATTTTCTCTTCGCGATTTAAATTAATTTCTCATCATCAATCAAAATGATTTTCGCATCCGTAAAAGATTCAATTGGATCATCTTCGTTTTTAGATCGACGCTGAAAATTTTAGTGCGATTACTAACTTCTTAAAAATTCCGCGTAAAAGCAAATATTGCTTTAACGAATTTTATTTATAAATGAGTTTTAATTTATGTGATCGTGAGTAAGAAGTATTCTTTTTAAATCCAACAATTTTTTGTGGAGCCGTGCGAATTGGTGAGGGCCATTCGTTTTCGTGTAATCGCGATTCTTCTACGAGGAGTTTGTTTTCTTAAACGAATTGTATCTTGTAGAGCGAAATAGTGCACATTATATCGGCACATTTATATCTCACTCTGGACGTGCACCTTCTCAACGTGTGTAAAAATTTCAATACATAACTGAACGAGGAGATTTTATCACGCGAATAAAATTTCTACGATACTGTCTTACCCGATGTGCCAAAAATTATATCAAAATAAACGTTATCTTTACTACTACTTAAAATTCTATAAGTAATCCTTTAATTTGAAATTCTTTCAGTGCTATACGTGCATTGTTTCCACGTGTTCTTTGCGTTATCAAATTATCTATTCGTGTGCAATTTTACCTTGAACGAGACGAAGAGTGCATAAATTGCGCCAACATAGTTAATTCTACGATAATGAGGCCTCAGAAATTAAATCCTGGCGGATCGATCGCAGTCTGAAGTTACAATACAATACGGCATCTAGAGAATTCCGGGAAGAGCACCGACACGTTTCTCGATAAAATACTGCTTATCACCGTGACTACGTCTGTCGATTTGCACACACACACACACACATGCACACAGAGAAAGAGAAATTCCCTGTAGATTTATCATCATTATAATTATCGAAGACATTCAATAATTATTCTCGAACAGGGCGTGCATGACGTCGAGAATGGAGATTTAATGGATCCAAAATAAATTTTAATTTTGTTTTAATGTAGCTTCAAATTTAGATTACTTTATGATTTTTGTTTCTGTTTTACATTTCTTTGCTGCTCCTTTATATTTCAATTTTCTGCAATACTTTATTTCGATACATTTAAATCAAATTAATACCACGGGAAAACTTTTGTTGCAATTTATATATGTTTTCAAATTAATTATTTATGTTTTGATCAAGATTAAAAAACATTCTTACCTAAAATTGATTTCAAGTTGCATCTTGCGTGGTCCAGGGTTGCGTGGTCACATGTACGATAAGAAATACTTGGGAAATACTGTTTATCAGGAAACAGAAAGAATAATGCTTCTTGTGTCTGTTTTATCTTCAAGGTTTTCAAGAATGAAACACGAAAACTGATGCGAAGGGAATAGCTGCCATCAGCGCCATGTCACGCCCTTGTGTCGACGAAATCATCATCGGCTGAATTTCACACATCTGGTGAGTTGCTGACCTCCATCTAATTCTTGTTAACCCAATTTTGAATAACCTTCCGGGGTATTAGAAATTGCTGAGATATTTTTCGTCGCTCCTGATAAATCGGTCCTCAGATTATAGCATGATGAAACCATTGCGTAAAAATACAAAACATTTTCGAAACATGTTTAATATTGTATTACTATTATTCATTCTACGAAAACATAGCTCTTTCTAAATGTTGTTTTAAATCTTATCTTATAAATTTATTTCACGGTTAATGGAAAATAAATTAGAGAGAGGAACAATAAATTCTCTATTGCTCTATCATTGCGATACGAATAGGACAGCATTGCTGACGCCGCGTCTGAAAATGCGGAATTGAATCTTATCGGAAACGACAGAGGCGTACACACTTCGACGTCGCCAATTCCCCGATATATATATATA